CTAGTGATAAGGGGGTAACAAAGTACACTTAAAGTCCTTGTAAACACGGTCAATAATTAAATATATTCTCCTAGCAGATTCGTTAAACTAAATGAACACGTATGCTAATGAGCCTAAACCATGTATTTATATTAGGGTGTAAAAAACAATAGAGAACACAGAAAAAACTGTCAAAGTGTGAGTATTCTAGTGGGGAAAAAACTTCAATAGGGTATACAGAATTACATCATCCCAAATGTCCTTAAGTTCTTCAGTTGATTTATTCTGTGCCCTCTCTATACCAATAATCGACTCCAATGGCCTTAGATGCAATGGTGTGAACCCAGTTGCAAAGCTTGATGTCCTACACAAACCAAGCGAACCCCACTTCAATAATTCAACATGAAAATAGTATGCCTCTGCACTGTCAAAAATTCTTTGCAGAGTGAGCCAGTAGTTTAAGACTGTTTCAAAATTCTAAAAAGACTAGAAGCATCTCCACTCAGAGCTGCAATAGAAGACAATATCCTCCTACAATCCTTTGAAGCTAGACCTAGCATTATATGCTTTTTTGCAATACAAAAATCCGATCTTTGAACATCTAATAGCAGGCAAATAGTTAAATACAAAAAAATAAAACTTTTCCAGTTTCTTCTTAATTTGTTAAAGCAAGCAAATGTCAAAAACTTGCAAATCTCAAGCACCGATCAGCCTTTGCTTCTCCCATCTTTCAGCCCCTAGCAATCAGGCTAAGGTTGCACAAACAAAATTAACTAATGGAAGATTAGTACATTAAAAGCTGAAGGGAGAGATGAACACAAGACAATGGTCTAAAGAACTAATTAGAGCTCTTTCAAGAATTTTATTAAACAGTAAGCCAGTGCCATATCAGAAACTCACGACATTCACATAATCAGTGTAAAACTGTCCCGAAGAAAACCCCCCATTGAGATTGCGAATAAATGCTTTCCTACAAGTGATGTATAACACATTTGTAGATTGTAGTCCACACTGTATCATTGAACGTGAGTGTTGTTAGTACTATACTTACAAACTTTTATCGAAATAATATTATCGAAATAATATTAGCTGACCTGTAATTGGCTTTTGAATTCATGAAGCCGAACGATTCTAACATCAAAGGAGTTCGATTATATGAATTCCAATAAAGCGGAGGCAACTAAGGGAGGGAATGAATAATTTTGGAGAAAAAAATTTGGGGGCAGGAAGAGTGGAAGACAGAAAATTAAGAGAGGGAATGACAATTTTGGGGAAAAACTTTGGAGGCAAAGGAAAAGTGGAGCGGGGTGCAGATTTTGCGTATTTGAATTTTGAAATTTGTAAGAAAAAAAAAAAGAAGAAGGTATTTTCTCGTTTTCTTTTTACTTATCTTTTAAATTCAAAAATATATTTTGTGAGAATTAAAATTAGAAATACTGAAATAGTAATTGAAAAAAATTTCGTTAATTATTAGCATAGAAATATGTCAAATATTTTTGTTGGCAAAAGATATATTTGAATTAAAGGAAATATGATAAGAATGGAAGGAAATAAATTAAAAGGGAATAAAATCACGCATAATTTAACTTTGTCACAAACTTTCAACGACAACACTAAATCAATCGTTGAATGTCACCTTCAACGACTACGTCTTATTAGTCGTTGAATGTCGAAAACTATTTTGGCGTCAAGCTAAAGCTGTAATCGATTGTCATAAACCTCCAACGACTAAACATAATTGGTCGTTGAATGTCACTTAAAACAACCACTAAATAAATAGTCGTTGAATGTCGAGTTTTCCTTTAGTTTCAACAAAGAGATAAAATTAGTTATTGTTTTATTATATTAACGACCAAACATTATAGTCGTTGATTATTTACTATATTATTTGTGCTTTTAACAACCGATTTTGTTGTCGTTGAATATGAACAAATATTTTGGAGGGAATATTTTATTTGGCGCCCGCTCAAAACAACCAATTTTAATTTGATTGTTGAAAATATAGATTTAACAACTATTTTTTCGGTCGTTGTAGGATATTTCCAACTAATTTTAAATTCTATCCTTCGTCATCCAATTTCTACGACGAAACTTATAATTTGATCTTTGAAAATAATTTTTAACAACCAGATTTATTTGGTCGTTGAAAAATTAGTTGTTAAATATCATTTTTCTTTAGTGAACCTAGAAGGGGGGGGGAATATATATATATATATATATATATATACACACACACACACACCTCTTAAGGTTACTGTTAATCAATATACACAAAGACATTCCCCTTTTAAACAATTTTCACAAAGAAAATCAAAGAATAAAATAAGAAAATGTTGAACAAAGAAATGTCAAAAAATGACGAAGAGTTTAGGCTTTTCTCTTGCCATGGAGCGAGATGAGACAATCTTTATATTTCACAGAAGCATCAAGGACAGCATTCAAGGAACCACATCAATACACGTCCCATCATCACAATAGAACTCAAGACAATGCATGAAGCGTGAAATCTGTTATAAATTTATCCTTGTTTTACGAATTGCACTTTCAGAAAAATGTTGAACATAAAACTGTATTTTGAGTTTTATGTAATAAATTTATCCTTGTTTTAGGAAATGCATTTGCAGAAATACCAAACTAAACACGTTTCGACATTTTGCAAAACTGAAAGCAATTTGAAAACAACAAATAAAACACCAAAAATGCCTAATGTACAGCCCCTCACAAGTTGTGTGAGGGGGGGGTGGGCGTGGGTGAGATTATTTAAAAAAAAAAATTACCCACCTCCCATAATGTGTGTGGCCTGTACAGGCCTGCGAGGCAGCATTGTTGATAAAACACATCCTTATTGATTAGGGCCATTATTTTTATATAATTTTTGAACACATTTGATCAAGATTTAATCGGAACAAAAACATAATGTTGGTAAGATCTAATGATTAACTTAATTTTGGAAGTTTCTAACTTTTCATGAAATAATTAAAAATACATTAGACCATCTAATCAAATGATCCAATAAATGAGATTAATTTTGAAGAACTCTTATTTTAGGGGGAAAAAAAAGACAACGATAAAACTTGTGACCTTAAAATTTAAAAAACATGGTTTTAAATAATAGTTTTTGAGATGTGTGGTTAAAAATAAGAAAAAATAAGAGTTTAAATGTAAAATATTTTATTGTATGAATATGTGATTCAAAATGAATATGAGAAATAAATTAAAGTGAAGTTAATGAAAAAGGGGCATAATTTGTAATTTTTTAAAGATGAGTCGTTTTCCATAAATTTCCCCTTATTTTTGATATTTTGTTCATAACCTAAAATCGCCTTTTGGAAAATCCCTGCGGACTCTGCCTGTGCGCTTTTCAGGTTATTTTGCTCTTCCTTCCCTCCATATTCCTTTTCAAACTCAAACCAAGAACCCTAATAATACGCCAAATTTTCCAATTTCTGACCTAAAGTGAAGGGTTCACGGTTTATCTGTTTGGATATTTGAGGTTATCATTTTTTTTGATAGCATGGATTTATCTTTCTATTTATGCTAAATCAAAATTGAATGTTGATTATGAGAAAATAATTTGAATTTAATTCAACTCTTGAGTTTGATGGTATAGCATTATTGCTTCGATTTTACGGCTTATGAATAGTGCCCAGAGGGCCAACTGGTTGTGGAAATATCTAAACCAATTTAGGGTCATTCTTTTGGCCGGAACTAAGGGGAGAATTTACAACATTATGAAGAATTATAAAATTTCGGCCTTTATGTTCTAAATTTCAGCCAGTACTGATGATGCGTGAGAAATAATAACAACAATTTGATGTCATCTTAGAAAATATATGTTTTGACTTTGTAATGTTATGAAATATGTACAATTTTGAATATTTTTGTTTAAAATTCCCAACCATTTTAATTTGATCAATTTTAAACAAGTGGAACCTTCACTATTTTATTTAAAAGAATTTGGCTCTACCTCCTATCTTTACAAGCTCCTGTTTGACTTCCTTAGAACTTTTACCTGTTCATATATAAATATATATAGTGATTTTTCCATTACAATGTTAAGGAGCTAATCATTTATGAGATATATGTTATGAGCTATGCAGTTGGCGTGGCTTTAAATTCAAATCTTGGATCATTTTAGATTCAAGTAACATCAGGTATTGAAAACAGGATAGTATAACTACAATTGATATACATGGCTTTTTTCTTTCATTTATGAAAGGTGAATTGTCTGAGATATAGAGAGGTGTTGAGATTTACAGAAAGAGGCAAAATAGCAGCTAATTTTTACAGTGGTTTACTTTTCCAAAGGTGACATGAACAGCCAATATGGTGTTAGGTGATTTTGAAGGTGCTGAAAAGGTAGCTTTTGCAAATTCCTTTGTAACTAGGATAACATAAACAAAATGGAGAATGTCAATTTTTGTGCTTGATCAAGCCTTTTATGATTTGATTAGCAATGGATTTAATTGGAATTGATTCTTAAAGGGACTAGAATTTGAGAGTTGTGATTGATTTTTTCTATATTTTATTTTTTGAGATTTTTGTAGTCACGTACTAGGATAACATAAACAAAAAGGAGAACGTCAGCAAGGCTCTTGTATCTCGTACTACAGTGTGTTGGAAAGCCTAAATGTTTGATGAATTATGAAACATACTGCAGTTCTTTAGCTTCTCTTTCTACCTCCAGGACATAGAAAATGTCTGACACAACTAGGGTAGATTATGAGCTTTGCTAGAAATCTAGGGCATGTGCCTTGGATTTCCAGGCACCCACCTATTGGAGGGGGGGCTGTCAGACCACTCCCCCCCCCCCTCCCTCCAATGGGGGGGCGCCTATGGATGAGGAGACATTTCCGTAGATTACATCCAACTTGTTCACGCCTCTGTGTTGCTACCCTTCTGTGTGAACATGATTCTAAACCATACGGAAAAGGTTAAGTAGTTTTTTTATATAGTTATTAACATGCATTTTTATGGGCAGACTGAATATAAAATTTACTTGGCACGACAACATAACCATGTAAATGCTGTACACTGGAAGTTTGATTCCTGTTGTATATTGATAAAATGAGTGTTACTCGTATGAACCTTGAAATTACTGCTGTATAAAACTGCAATGACTGCACATCAAACTTATTTTCAATAGATATGCGTGTGTTTGTTGTGTATTTATGTATGTACACATGCATACTTGATTTTCTTTGGCAGCAAAATTTATCTTTGTACAAGTTCGCATACTCATTACATAAACCTCTAAAAAAAAGGGAAAAGAATTGCCTGAACAGCAAACTGATTGTAGAAGTAATTTGGCACCGATGTTTATATGTACAATCCTTTATGTAGTGTGTTTCCCTTATGCTGCGGCCTCATGGTTACACCCTACTTCTTTGAGCCAATCAACAACTTCTTGTATAGTTGGCCTCTTGACAGGGTTCTGGTTGACACACATGCAAGCCACATCAAGGACTTGCAGCATCTCTTCTTCAAAGCCTTTGCCTCTCAGGAGTGGATCAAAGATCTCTTCTTGTTTTCCTTCGTTCCTCATTTGCTGTACCCATGCAACCAATTCTCTTGCCATCTTTGCCTTGAATAGTTCCATGGGCCTCTTTCCAGTTAATAGTTCGAGCATAACAACACCAAAACTGTAGACATCCCCTCTCAATGTGGCTATCCATGATTGACTGTATTCTGGTGGAATGTAACCAAGTGTACCAACTAGTTCGGTGGTTACATGAGTATGATAAGGAAGAATCAGCCTTGCTAACCCAAAATCTGCCACATGTGCTTCAAAGTTATCATCCAGAAGAATGTTACTGGACTTTAGGTCACGATGAACAATATGTGGTTCGCAAATCTGGTGCATATAAGCCACCCCATAACTTGTCCCTTGAGCAATCTTCAGTCGAGTTGGCCAATTGAGTTGGGATGCTCCATCAGGTTTTTCATGCAACCAGTAGTCCAGGCTCCCATTCTCCATGTAGGAATATATTAGCAATCTATAGCCTTCATGAACACAGTAACCCTGCAGCGTAACCAGATTCTTATGTTGGGCAGTTGACAAAGCTTCAACCTCGGCTTTGAATTCCCTTTCCATCAGACCCATATCTCCCGAGAGTTTCTTAACTGCCAGCTTGGTACCATCTGCTAAAGTTGCTTTATATACCAAACCAAAGCCCCCACACCCAATTATGTTTGACTGGTTGAAATTATCTGTAGCTTTCAAGATTTCAGCGATTGTTAGGTCCATTGGTTTATTTGTATCGTTAGGAAACAATATGACAAGGCTGGTATCATTTGCAACTTCATTAAATACTCCAGAAGAGTTGAAGGATACCATATCCATATCAGTCTTCTCGGCACTTTTTGGTAGGATCCTCCTCTTGGAAACCACCCAATATATCAGCAGAGTAAAAGTAAAAATGCCAGAACAAATCACAAGAATGAGTACAATGATTTTTCTCTTTGTTCCTTTCCTTTGCGCTAACTGATGGGTAGTTTCTGATTGACTACTGCAAGAGCGCTGCAAAATTTTACCACACAAAAGTGGATTTCCTTCAAAGCTTGAATTAGAAAATGTGTCAAACTGACCTCCTACAGGTATAGGACCTTCGAGATTGTTGTCTGCAACATTGAAAAAGGACAGAAAGTGAAGATTTTTGAGCGATGCAGGAATTTGACCAGAAAGATTGTTGCTAGAGAGGTCCAGTTTCTCCAAGTTAGTGAGATTAGATATTGTTTCCGGAATGCTGCCAGAGAAATTGTTATCGCTGAGATCCAGGGCAACGATAAACTTCAATTGACCAATCTCAATTGGGATGGTACCACTGATACTGTTACTCCAGAGGTATATTGCTGGTGGCAAGTTGGAGAGCTGGTTGTATTGCAGATTGGAGGCATTATTGGGCTGAACAAAGACAGGCAATTCTAAATAACTTTGGTCTACTTGATCCGAAGTCTGTTGTGTTGCTAGTCTTCTCAGTTTTATAAGTTCCATGGTGAAGTTTCCTGATAGTAGGTTTTGGGACAAATCCAAGTAGAAAAGGTTTGGAAGATCTCCAAACCATCCTGGGACGGAGCCTGTGATGTTGTTAAGCGATAAGTCTAGAACCTCCAGCTTATCTAGTCTAGACAACCAAATTGGAATTAGACCCGTGAATCCACAGCCACCTAAACCCAGGACTTGAAGATTTTGGAACTCACCAGCTCTTATCAAGTTTTCATCTCCAGGCAGTGGTTCATTGTAAAAGTTTTTTGAGAGGATTAAAGTGCTGAGGTTCTTGCACCCTGTTAGGATGCGCATAGCACTGGTGATATTGTTTAGGCTATTATTAGAAAGGGATAAGAAGGATAGAGATTGTAATGCCATTATGTTGGGCAAAACCTCTCCATTTAAACTATTGGTAGCCAAGCGAATTGCAGTCAAATTCTTGCATAAAAATAGGCTCGATGGCAATCTACCTCTGAAGAAATTATTACCGAGGTCAATGGATCTAAGCTGAACGAATTTGGAGAAATTAAAAGCAGAAAGTTCACCTTCAAGGAGGTTGACCCTTAAATTCAGCGTTGTAAGTCTCGTACAATTCGTAAGAGATTGGGGCAGAGTTCCATTTAGTTTATTTATGTGAAGCCACAACTGTTCCAAGTTGGAGAGCCTCCCGATATCTTGAGGAATCGTTCCTGTCAATTCATTACCATAGAGAGAAAGGTTTCTAAGGTTAATGAGGTTAACAATGCTTCCATCTATCACTCCAGAGAGCTTATTGGCAGGCAAGTACAGTTCTTGCAGTGATGAAATCATGTAAATATCACTGGGAATGGAACCCGAAAAGTTATTGAAACCTGCTCGTAGTCTCAATAAATTGTGACACTGGCCAAAACCGTGTGAAATTGGGCCTACAAAGTCATTGTTGGAGAAATCAAGATGCACAATTGAAGGCGAAAATCTGCAGACAGATGAAGGGATTGAACCAGAGAAGCTGTTATTGCTGACATCAAATATTTGCAAATTCAATGCTGGCTGGAGAAACGTAGATTGGATTCTCCCATAAAAGCGGTTGCTGGATAAATCCACTGTCATGACAGTACTCACCAGCTTATCAGAATCTGATAGCTGTCCGGTGAGACGATTATGGCTTATATCAATGAATACCAGGCGGTTCAAGGCCGAAAAAAATCCATCCGAGATAGGACCAGAGAGCCGATTCCGTGACAAGTTGAGTTGATTGAGACTGGTGAGGTTTACAATAAAAGGAGACATGGTTCCAATTAGCCCTTTCGACGGTAGCAATAGACTGTTCACTCTGCCACTCTCATCACATCCGACTCCTTCCCAGCTGCAGCAATCAAAAGAAAGAGACCAATTCAAAGGAGATGGAGTACTAATACTCAGATTGAATGATGATAAAGAGTTTCGATCTTGTTCATTACATGAGCCATGGCAGGTATATACAGAACAAGAAAGAGTCACCAGTACTACAGTTAACAGCACATCCAAGAAACACCAGTAGGACGAGGAAGAAGAATGGAATGGAGACAAGAGCATGGCTGAAATGAGTTGATGACTGTGTAGGATTTGATTCAAGATGGGTTTATTGTGTTCTTATGATTATTGGGAAAACAACAGAAGATGAAGACAGATGAAGGTACCAAAGATATTCCAATCAATCATGTGGGTTCTTCGTCCAGTTTTCTCATCCAAGTTCGTGCAGACTTTAGTCTTCTACCCACCAAAGAGGAGGAAGGAAAGAGAGGGTTGAGAGGAAGATAGAGTGGGTGATGTTGACATGGAGCAATATTAAAAGTTGAGTCTAAATTATCAGAAACAAAAAAAAGCGTTTACTTTTGGGACGGCTGGCTGGTGGACTTTCTTTATGTTATGCTATATATATATATATATTTGGCTTTCAGTGAGATGATTAAAATCTGAATTTTATAACTGGTATCAGAGTCTGGATCAAGATTCGAGCTACAAGATTGTGACAATTGAGAGATGTATTGTTCAGGCTCGTAAATTTATAAATTGGGTCACTCAAATGATGATGGTCTAATGCTAATTTTTTGATAAGATGATTAAAGTTGGACGTTACAAATATATTATAAAAGAGGAGAAAACGTGTATTTTACGTGGGTGGATGCAGGGAAAATTTCAGCTCCCTTGGCCACTTCCTAGTTGAATATCATTTTCCCTGTATAAAACTATTTTAGTGACCACTTGTATGTATCAAACAAAAAGATAATTATGGTGGTTGTGACCGCCTCTATTTACCAAATATTAAATAAGCATACATATTGTCGAATGAAAATTACTTTATACATTAATTATTTAGAACCAAGTTTGTCAGATGCTACATGACATTTGACATTTAAAATCTTTAGTTAATTTCTCATAAATTTTCATTGACAACTTGTCATCTTCAAGATTGGATGTTCATAACAATCCATTTTATTCCAACTGGGTAACCTAACAAAATCAATATTTTAATGGTCGCGTTATCTATGAAAGTCTTTCAATACAGAATGTTTGCTCTAATATCAATTGTAAGTTTGTAAAAGATACAAGTATTCAATATATTTTTCTTTTCGTTGTAAAATATTTTTTGATAATGACCTTTTTGAAGCGTTGAACCGTAAAATAATTGATTGTAATTTGTACTTATATTATATTGTAATGGCTTGGAAAATTCCTATTCATAGTGATGGAGAGGTGAAGAGTCTTTGGGATGCATTATGAGGTATTTTCCTTTTTGTTGACAAGAGATCCAATATGTTACTATATATGAAATAAACGTGATGGGCTGACATTTTCAGTAATGTAATGGCCATTTGCACATGACATGTCCTATTTCAAAGAATAGCCTATTTGGTCTCCTACCTATGTATACGTACAATTAACCCGTTGTCCAGCCAAATTAATTTTCTACTACATTATATAAAATATAAAAATAAAAAATCATTTTCTTGAATGTCGCAATTACCGTTACTAATGCATGTACCAAATATTCGAAATTTGGATTATGGGTTATGATCGATACTTCAAGGGCATGTTTGATATGTATGATTTGATAATGTTGGATAGTTATCATTTTAAAATAAAGATATCGAACAACTTTTGTTATCTATGATATTTTCCATCAATAGTATAGTCGAAAGTGAATACTAGAAGAATAAATAGTTTACCAATAGCAAGTTAGAAATTATTGATCATGTGGTCTGTAGATAACTTCTTGCTTATATATTTGTTTTCACCAAGTTTAATATTAGAATGCCCTAACAAACAAAATAAAGAGTCCAGATTGCTGGCTGGGACACGGACGAAGCATTTGGGCAATTTTTACCAGTCAAGCAAACAAACTAATATTATATTTGATACACAGTGTAAAATATCATTGACAATACAATATTATATCTTTAATAATATTCAATATTGTACAACCCATGTTATCAAATAAATCGTAAATGATAAACCCGAATAAAATGAAGGTAATTTGTTCGAGTTATCTTAATCATAACAAAATAGAGAGTCAAGATTGTTGGCTGGGAGCCCGGGACACGGGCGAAGCATTTGGGCAATTTATATCAGTCAAGCAAAAGCACTGATATTATATTTGATACACAGTATTAAATATCATTGACAATACAATTTTATATCTTTAATAATATTCAATATGGTACAACCAACATTATCAAATAAATCGTAAATGGTAAACCCAAATAAAATGAAGGTAATTTATTCGAGTTATCTTAATCATAGTTGACAAGGTACACGTTAGGGAAAATTTTATTGGTCCCACAATTGAAGGGTTCATTTCACGATGGTCACACATCTTTAATACGTTTTCAATTGACTACTCAACTTTTGTTTTTATTTCAATTGGACTATTTTAATACCCAGTTCTACATGGCTGCAGAGTTTGTGACTAGGACCTTTTTTCGACATTAAATCAATAGCTTTCAGAAACAAGAAAAACTCAATTGGAAGAATTAAGAACTCAAAATTTGTCTTCGTGCATTCCACTTTCAATTGGCAAACTATTGATTTAACGTCAAACAAGTGTCAAGTCAAGCATTCTTTCAGGCACTTGAGATTGATTGCCAATTTTGGTCATGGCTATAAACAATATTCTAAAATACACGCGCGTTCGAATCCATTTACAAACAATAAGCATTATTCTCGAATAATCATAGTTTGGGTCGTTCTTATTCTTGTTGAAAGTTTCAAAAGTAACTAAATCTTTAACAATTATAACAAGTCATATTAGTTTTGACAAATATGTTGTTCGTCTAATGTGTTGTACTGAAAAAATATTATCCTTATAAATTAACGTACCTTTAAATGTATACCATACGTTTCCAAGCTAGATAATGCATGATGATCCGCGTGAGGCCTTAAAAAATGTTATTCTCTAAGTTGCTTGGATAAAGTCACAAAGCCAATTATGTATTTGAGGAACATGTTTTAAGGACCAAGTTGGGAAAAAAATTGAAAATTTATGTTACTTATAGCCCCCGTTTGGCCCCCTTTATTTGGATTTATAATGGGGGAATTTTTTATTTTTTTTTTTAAAAAGATGGTTGTAAAAGAATGAAATTTTTTTTTATTTGCGTGTAATATTATTTTGTTGAAAATTATGTAGTTGAAAATAGGAGAGAGAAAAAATTAAATTAAATTGAAGAGTTTTAATGGAGGCCAAACAGTGGCATAATATCTAATGACCTCATTTTGTTTATATTTGAAAAATACCCATCTCCGTCATTATCTTCTTTCTCAATCCGCACCCAACCTTTCTAGAGAAGATGAGTGCTAGAGTCCTTAACCTTTCAATAAGTTTGGATTTATCTTCTCGTCGTTCAAAATGTAAGGTCTTGCATACTTATTTTATTTAAATACATGAATATGGGTTCTCACGTGGCAAAAACTGGTAATGTGCATGTACAAATCGCATGCAACGTTTACTTGACTTAAAGTTAGAGGACCAAACCGTCAAAGATGTAATATAGAAGAATCGGATTCATATATTTACATGACCTTCATGTGCAATTTTAATATCCACCTCAATGAATTCTCTCAAGTGCAGTTAGATTTACATAGTTCAATTGCTTGGGACCTAGCCTCCCCTTTTAATGTTGAAGGGTCAAAACCATTCTAAGTTCAAAGTTAAGACTTAAGAAGTTCAACCTTAATTTTTCCTTTCTTGGCTTCCCTTTTTCTCCAACTGCTCATATTCCCCTTGTCCCCGTCACCTCACGTTCTCTCAAGCCTAAGGGTGTCGAGTGGGGTGAGTTGCTCTCCCCACACAGCTCGGCTGGCCCAAGAGGCAAATCATGGGACGAGCTGAGTTGAATTTTTCTCATGCTATTCGCTTGTTGAGAATTCGAGAAAAATAATAATAATAATAATAATAATAATAATAATAATAATAATAAATGTTAGTGACATGAGCCGAGCAGAGAGAATTTTGAAGGGAGCCAACTCTTACTAGTTCGCCACGTTCGCTAGCACAAACTGGCTCGCCAAGTCCCCATACTAGGGAGCTCCTGAGTACATGAAAATGGATGAACAGGGCAACAGAAGGAGAGGGAAGGGGCTCCCTTCATAAAATCATATGGGATATTTCATCTAGAAGAAACTGGTTTTGATCTTGGATAAATTAGTAATTGTCTTGGGTAAAGAAATCCAAGAAACATGAATATATGGTTGGTACAGATCTTGGTCTGATTTTCATATTCTCACCAGTTGGCAACTAGAATGGTGACTAAAATGAAGACAAGCTAAATGCACTTTTAAAATCATAAAATTTCATTAGGCTGCTACCAAACAATTATAAATTGAACAAGTAACTCAAATCTGACTGGTCAAATGCTTTATTCAAACTGAACTTGGACAAAAAAATGAACCAACAAGCATGACTAACAGGGATGCATTTCATAACAAAATAATTCTTAATGAATAAACAAAAGATATCAAAGATTACATGCTCCAATTTGCTTTGCATCCAACTCAGCTTCTTTTTCGTATTGAAAAAAAAAAAAAAAAGATTAATATTTTTATTTAATCAAAATTCAAAACGCATGCCAACTAATAAAAGTGGCATCGTATAGTATTGTACCATACTATATCATACATGTGTAATGTGTCAAGCATCGCGAGAGAAAGATAGTGCGAAATAAATAAATCTAAAGAATTTTTTAAACAAAATATGATATCAGGAAAGTAAGAACATATCTAACCCAACCCAAACTTTAGATGATGCTTGGCTTTTTAGAGCATTATCATATATATATATATATTTATATAATGTCACTTATTTGCTAAAATATTCACCCATCATTTCACCGGTCATTTACCAAGCAATGGTCGGCCAATTGCACTAATACATATCAATTTAACACCCCTTATTCAAAGTCAATTATGATTCTTCCTTTACATTTTCAATAAGCTATAACTACTTTTATGATTATAACAAAAGATTCGAATCCATTTACAAACAATAAGCATTATTCTCGAATAATCATAGTTTGGGTCGTTCTTATTCTTGTTGAAAGTTTCAAAAGTAACTAAATCTTTAACAATTATAACAAGTCATATTAGTTTTGACAAATATGTTGTTCGTCTAATGTGTTGTACTGAAAAAACATCGTCCTTATAAATTAACGTATCTTTAAATGTATACCATACGTTTCCAAGCTAGATAATGCATGATGATCCGCGTGAGGCCTTAAAAAATGTAATTCTCTAAGTTGCTTGGATAAAGTCACAAAGCCAATTATGTATTTGAGGAACATGTTTTAAGGACCAAGTTGGGAAAAAAATTGAAAATTTATGTTACTTATAGCCCCCGTTTGGCCCCCATTATTTGGATTT